GCACGCGCACATCACTCCCATACTTAAAAAACCCTCCCTGGATCCCACCGACCTAAACAACCTTAGACCCATCTCCCTGCTGGCACTGATAGGCACAGGTGGGTGGCACTGATGGAGGTGGGTGGCACTGATGGGCACAGGTGGGTGGCACTGATGGGTACAGGAGGGCAGCACTGCTGGGCACAGGTGGGTGGCACAGGTGGGCAGCACTGAGTGGCACAGGTGGGTGGCACTGATGGGCACAGGTGGGTGGCACTGCTGAGTGGCACAGGTGGGTGGCACTGATGGGTACTGGGGAGGCAGCACTGCTGGGCACAGGTGGGTGGCACAGGTGGGCAGCACTGCTGGGCACTGATCATCAGGGCACTGATCATCAGTGCCGATCCCTTCACTGACAATTGCTGGTTCTCGGCAGTACTTTCCTCACGCTGTGATAGTGTGAGGAAAGTGCAGCCGATAACCGGCAACTGTATTTACCCGGTGATCGCTGTGTCATTGGACACAGCTGATCACGTGGTAAAAAGCCGAAGTGAATGGCCATTTACCGTACCACGTGATCAGCTGTTCTGGCGCAGGGGGCGTGTCCTGGAATGACGTCAATGGACGTCGTCTCAGGATTACACAACTGCGCTGTAGCCGTCCTTTGGCTATAGCGCGGTTGGGAACCAGTTAAATTTGTTATGGGGACTGGAGCTCCGCTTTAACCTTCCCCCTGTAGAAATATTTTTTTTACATTTCAAATTTCTAAATTCCAGGCATCCTTTGGCTATTCACTTGATGGGTGGGATCTGGGTTCTGAATGCTACCAATTGCATCCCAAATCCTACCACATTTGGTCACATCCATAAATATTTGCCACACCCATTACAGCAACGGGGTTTGATCCAATACAATATAAGCAATTCTGTGGTTTGAATGAATGATTTACTTTTGAAAGAAAATATAAGCCAGTGGAATTGAAAACAAGTTGCAGAATGTAATTTACCTTAGTCTCTTTATTAGCATTTAACCAGCACTTGACAGATATTACAGTGGCTCTCCTAAGTAATGAAGTAGCTGCTCACATCCCCCTCAGTATATGGGACACAGAAAACCTTTATGATGGCTAACATCACCCACGGAAATTATACTGTTGTAGTGCTGATGGGAAATCTATAACTCTCAATGTTTAAGGCTACATAAAACCACGTACACAATAACAAGATACATGAGGTGCTGCCAAGAATGTGTTGTTTAAATTATAATCTTGTAACTGCACTCAGGAACAATTTAACTTGATTGAACAATTTCTGTTCAGAAATAATAAGGTAGAAAGTGGCGGTATGCAAATATCCCAATAATATAAGAGATCAGCTCAGATAAACCTGTGTAGAGAATAAATATGAGGAGACAGGGCTAAGCAAAGCTTTATTTTCCATAGAGCAGAAGTTGCAGAGGTTTATTTCAGAACTGTGGTCTACTTAAAGGATGCTGTAGTGTTTGAAGGTAGTATTTCAGTGGTTACCCTAAAGAATAAGTGCATTTTTAGTGCATTTATCCTTTTCTATCCCCACCCCATGTTAGATTGTAGACAACTTTCCATTACAGTCAATATAGATTGTAGAGCTAACTATGGCGTAGTTAGATGCACATGGTCTCAAAAGGAAAAGCCCTCATATGCCTGTGACTGTCTTCTAGGTTTCTGAGAATGGACTCATTATCTTGAAGGCATAGAACATTTTATTTAAGTGCAAACAAATGTGCGTGCTGCCGACAGCCCAACAATCCTTGAATCTCTTAATAAACAATCATTCAGCAGCTAGATGGCACTGTCTTGTGTTCCTACATCTATTTTCAACTATCTTAAAGATGTCACTGTTTCTGCCCTTACGTATTACATCACAACGGCATGACTTCTTCAGAGGACATACACTTATCCCACCCATTGTCAGATGCCATTGTAAAGACATAATCAATGTAATTCACTTTATCTGTCAATGGTCACAATGTTTTGGCTGATTGGTGTACATAATTTTGTTCCTAAGGCAGTGCTTTGAGATATCGATACGCTTTATAGTCATTTAACCACTTCCCGCCTGGCCATCATTTTACAATTTCGATGTTCCAGGTGGACGCTATATGACGTCCTCCTGAAACATGCTGTGCAGACACGCTGCATCATAATCTGTCACTGGCTGTGTCCACCAGACACAGCCGATGACAGATCACTATACCAGGCCACTGCCAGTACCATGTGATTGCTGTGACCAATCACAGCAGATCACACGAGAATTGTAAACAATTAATGTCTTGGATTCATGCCATTTATTGTGTACAATTGTGTTGCTAACTGTGATTGGTCACAGTGATCACATGATACAGACAGGGCCAATCACAGCCCATCTGTACCATGTGATTAGCTGTGGTCATTCACAGCTAAACCCATCAATACACACCGAATGAATACATTTCATTAAGTAAAAATGGTTGCTTTTACTAGTGAAATTCACTGGTATAAGCAATCATAGTGTGTAAAAAAAAACTGATCACTTCCCCAGAGTAGTACGATGTTACTTTGGTAACATAAAATTGCTCTGGTCATAGTGTGTTAAAAAAATCATTAAAAAAAGGTTATGCAAAAGAAAAACAATTGAAAAAAATTATCAATGTATTCTTTTTTTTATTACATACATACTGTCACCAGTCAGTGTCTCTGATAACTGCCACACCAATTATATGATGACGCTGTACTGCATTGATGACAGTATGTAAAAAAAATATTGTGAACATTTTTTATTTTTAATTTCTTTATTTCCAAAAGATGATGACAAAAAAATTACAACTTCAAAAAAACTCGCCATGTCTCTTACTAAATACCGCAGACTGTCTCCTTTCCAAAAAGGGGTAATTTTGGGGATATTTGCACTGTGATGACATTTTTGGGCCTCAAGAAATGAGATAGGCTATCAGGGTTGATCGATTTTCAAATATATATAACATAGTTTGTGGACTTCCTACAAACTAAATAATAAACACTGATATTGGTTAATTTCACCAAAGACATGTAGCAGAATACATTTTGGCCTAAATTTATGAAGCAAGATTATTTTTTTGCTAAATTATATAACAGAAACAAAAGGAAAACATACTTTTTTTCAAATGTTTTTGTATTTTTTTTGTTTATTTAACAAAAAGTAAAAAAATACAGTGGTGATTAAATACCACCAAAAGAAAGCTCTATTTGTGTGAAGAAAATGATAAAGATTTATTATGGGTGCAGTGTTGCATGACCACGCAATTGTCATTCAAAGTGCAACAGCTCTGTAAGCTGAAAATTGACCTGGGCAGGAAGGGGGACAAGTGCCCAGTATTGAAGTAGTTAAACATGATAGTAACCACAACTATTACACTGTATAATAACTGTTGCTTTTTTAACTTCTCCATTTTATATGCCTCATCTTCTTTTGAGTAAAGATCATTGTACAATAAAGCATTTTGTTTTAATATAAAAATTGCTTTTCTAGACTCTTTTTGGTACCCATAAAATGCCATACTGCAGCTTTGAGTTTATATATTTTGATAATACAGGGATACCTTAAGCACCCTTTAATCCAGGGAAAAAATATGTCAAGTAAAAACATATCTAAACCAGAAAACAAACATTTTATATATCACAGTTTACCAATCCCTATATGTGGTGGCTGCATTAGGTTTTTTTCCCCCTTTGTCTTCACCTGGTGATGTGGCCAGTAGTACACTTTAGCAAGTTTAGATGTACTTGATTAACAAAATAAAGCCAACTCCAGCTTACATTGTTCATCAGTTACATCAGTTTTTTTGTTTTTCCTTTTGGTATGACAGTGAATGAAAAAAAAAAACTGACCATTGTGAGCACTGTGTCAGTGTTAAATGGTATGTCTCAACTATCTAACTGCTACTTTTGCTGGAAAGCTTGGTCTGTTAATGGCAGCTGTAAAATACTCTCTGAAACAACAGGTGAAAATAAAGGACCAAAAAGCCTAAACAAACAAATGCAGCCACTACATCTAAGAACTGGAAAGCTGCAATTTATAACATTTTTGCTTTTTGGTTTAGATGCGCTTTATTGACCTGACACCCAGTTGGTCACAGCATCTGTAGCTGTTATAGCAGAAGTTTGTGCCACAATTACCTATCTAGGTAATACCTATCTATTTGTGGTAAAGATGATGGAAATCTCCTCTCTTACACTATAACAAGAATTCAAACTTACTAGTCAAGGATAGCTATATGTCCTATTATTTGCCTGGATCAGAGTTTCTCAACCTTTTTACCTTGGAGGAACCCTTGGCAAAAAGTTTGGGATCTCAGGGAACCTCTGAAAAAATGTTTTAATTCTGCAATTCATAGAACATTGGACCTTATTAGCAAGCTGTAGATATACCAACAATTAACAAACAGCATTAAATAATAGAATACATATGAATAAAAAAGAGTATCTCCTAATGTGAAACTTAGGCTTGCTTTTTTTCTGCACAGATGCTCAGTTACAGGTCAAACCTGAGAAAAGCACACTGGGAGTTGATTTTCTCCACATGCAGAGCAACGCAGGGAAGCTGCTGTTGTAACGTGCTTTTCCTCTTGATCTGTGCTAGCCCTCCTCTTGTCCACCCCAGGTGATATTACATGCAAAAATCTGGGACAGACAAAAGAGAAGGGCCCATGGGGAACAGGACAGTAGGTAATGGTATGCTTCCCTGTACCACTCTCCAAATCCATAACACAGGGTTTCCTAAAGTGTTACTAAACCCAGGACCTTGCATTCACTATCTGGCCTCCCACAGTACACAGAACATGGAAATGCAATTATTGTAGTAAATATAAACTGCTAAATACCTTTTTTCTCATCACCAGTTAGAGCAGTCTTGTGACCCAGCAGAGCACTGGTTAAAGCTTGTAAGAGGAGTTTTCTTTCTGCTCTAGGAGGATGCAGAACCCCTGACCTCTGTCTGGACAGTGCTGGTTGGCCCTGTGCTGATCACATGCAAGCTCTGAAGAAAAAAAAAAAACCTCTTTAGCAATAAACACCAAACTGAGCATGTGCAGAGTGTCTCTACACGATATGTCTTATCAGGTGGTAAGAGGGGTATGCTAGAATAAGGGGGAGAAGTCAGGATCAAACAGCCTTTTTACACAATGCAGAGTATTAACCCCTTAGGTTCCACAGTAAGTATATCAAGCATGCTTTACTGCATATAAAGACTGATTTTACTGTTGTGGGTTTAGTATCACTTTAAATGTATTCCACCACAAATCAATATTGTGGTGGATGTACAGTATATCCACTCAACGTTTTTTTTTTTCAATATGCACAGACAGTTGATATTGATACCTGATGCCTCCTTTGTAGTTGTGCCTCTTGTGGACTGAGAGAGTGGCACCATGCAGAGAGTGGGAACACATGGCTGGATCAGGAGGTGACATCCTGTGCATGGCAGCGGTGAATGCAGACTATGGAGGGTGGAAGCACATGGATGAATGTAACAGGAGGTGACATCCAGTGTTTGATAGCACTGAATGCATCCATCTGCATCCATAGGATGTCACCTACTGCTTCTGCCATGTGCCTCCTCTCTCTGTTCCCTGTCTATATTCACTGCTGCCTTACACACACAGTGCTCTAGCTCAGGTGCTAAAGGGGTGTAACCACATATAAACACTAGAAATTCTGAAGGACCCTCTGCACACTGCAATATACTCTTTCCAGCAGACTTTGCAATAACTAGGGATATTTGGTTCACACATTATGAAATACATGTTTAACCTGTTCCCACTCTGCCAATAGCACAAAGACAGCCGGCAAAACACCTCATCCCCCTGGACGGATGCCATATGGCGGCGTGCCTGCCCGCAGGGCCGCTCTGCGGCGCGATCTGTCACCGGCCGTGTACCTCGGACACGGCCGAGACAGATCTGTGTACCGGCCCAGTTTCCAGTACCATGTGACCTGCTGTGAGCAAGCACAGCAGGTCACATGACAGTTGTATACAATGGATGGCTTCCTTTCATGCCATCCATTGTATACAAGTGTGTCTAGCTGTGAATGGTCACAGCGATCACATGCACAAGCTGGGCCAATCACAGCCCAGCTGGGTCATCAGATTAGGAGTGGTCAAATCACAGCTAAGCACAAAAAAAACCCCTGAATGAATCGATGTCATTCAGGTAAATGCTTGCTTATAGCAAAGTAATTCTTTGCTATAAGCAAACTGTGTAAAAAAAAAAAAATACTGATCACTTCCCCAAAGTAGTATACTGTTACTATGGTAACATTATACTACTTTGGTCATAGTGAAATATGAAAAATAAATGTTAAAAAAGAGAAAAAAAATTAATAAAAAATAATAAAAAAATAAATAAAAAATTTTTTTTTTTTTTTTTTCGTACTGTCACCAGTCAGTGTCCCTGATCACCACCATGCCAGTTATATGATGATGCTGTACTGCACCGGGTGACAGTATGTAAAAAAAAAAAAGAAAGAAAATCATTTTTTTAATTTCTTCATTTCCGAAAAATTATGACAAAAAAATGACAACTTCAAAAAACTCACCATGCCTGTTATGAAATACGTTGGACTGTCTACTTTACAAAAAGGGGTCATTTGGGGGATATCTGTACTGTTCTGACATTCTTGGACCTCAAGAAATTAGATTGGCCCTCAGTACTTCAGGATTGATCAATTTCAGATATATCCCATAGTTTGTGAACTCTATAACTTTCCTACAGACTAAATAATACATCCTAATTTGGGTTATTTTCACCAAAGAAATGTAGTAGAACATATTTTGGCCTAAATTTATGAAGAACAATTATTTATTTGCAAACTTTTATAACAGAAACAAAGAAAAACGTGGGTTTTTTTTTCAAATTTTCGGTCTTTTTTTGTTAATTTAGCAAAAAATAAAAACTCCAGTGGTGATTAAATACCACCAAAAGAAAGCTCTAGTTGTGTGAAGAAAAAGATAACATTTTAGTTTGGGTACAGTGTTGTATGACTGCGCAATTGTCATTCAAAGTGTGAGAAACCTGAAAAATGGCCTGGTCAGGAAGGGAGTAAAAGTATGGAAGCGGTTAAGCTGGCCAACTGCTTCAAAGTTGTTATATTGTGGGTCAGTAGCCAGACCTACACCTGGTAGCTCTCCCCCCCCACTTTGTCTTTTCCCCTATGTTGGCATTGTGTCCACAGTAGCATTTGCGTAGGCAGAGCAGAGTAGGACTGGCCATAGAGGGATTACTTTGACACAGTTGGCCAGCTTGGACATGTATTGTAATATGTGTGAACCAAATATCCCTATTTATTGTAAAGTCTGCTGGAAAGGGTATATACCAGTGTGCAGAGGGTCCTTCAGAATTCCTGTTTTGTGAAGGTTCTCACTTTGTTTATATTTTCCTTGAAGTCTCCTGTTAAATCTTCCCTGGCAAGGAATGGGTTACAGTTCTATACATGGACCTCAGAGGTTCGGAGAGTAATTGTATCTCCTGTAGTGTTAATTGAAGTGCAGAGCTTATTTATGGGTTTGGACACAGGTGCAGACATGTATAAAATAAAACAAATGAGCCCAGTCAAAGCAAGATATAAGGTAGCCACTGCTATGTATACATTGATAAATAACCGTAGTCCCTCAGGAAGCACTTGATGTGTGGACAGGTCAAGAGTAACACCAATGAGTCTGACTGCTGTGTATTGTCTCGGCTTTATTGCAATGGAGGCAATAAAAGAAAGAATTAACAATGTATACAGTCTGTGACTAGTGCTTCAAAGTACTGTTATAGTGAAACCTCCAATAATGCCCAAGACCGAATATATCGTTTACAAATACGTGTATTATACTCTATGCACTGGATGTCTCTTCATAAACATGCAAAGTGATGGATATAGGCTGCTGGCACTTCAAAGAAAATGCCTGGGTCTCCTTTGATTTCCATTGTTCTTTCTCCTTTTACAGTAGGTGCACGTCCTCATGCCTTCCTGTCAGCTAGACTTCAAGAACCTAAAGTGTAACTCAGCTTTTGCTGAGCAAAAAACAATCCTGTATAGTTAACAGATAAAGCCTGCAAGGATTTTAGGTACCTTTTTGGTAGAATTATTCCTTTTTCTGTTCTGTGTATGTTTCTGCGTGTTTCACCATGTCCAAAAGCTCACTGATTTCTTAAAGATTTTTTTGTCAGGGAAAAAAAATTAGTTCATAACTGCAATACAATCACATTTTCCCAGCAGGTTCAGAGAAAGTCTTGCTGAGCTGCCAGAAATTCAGTGAACTTCTGATTTCCTGTTTGAACTGACAACCCAGTTCCTCAGCTGCACTAAAATCTCACAGAACTACAGAACTCCACTGAGCCCAACCCCTCTTTGTCACATTTAAATTGCGTACATTGGTGTATTTTATAGCAAAGCAATCCTGCTGCCTTGACCTCCATAAGCCTGCCCAACAACACATTGTATGCAGGAAATGGACTCTTGGGAGATGTGGTTCTGGGGGATGTACATCATTTATGAAAAAATGAGCTTTCAGCAGCAGTCTTTACAAGTACGTTACAAGCCTGATGATGATGTCACAGGAAGCAATAAAAATGGTTTCCAACTACAGAAACAAAGACATTATATTGATGGGCCATGGTATGGAGGGGAGAATGGAGGTTTGGAGGTAAATTTGGATAATGCCTGAGACATAACCTTTAACCACTTCGACCCCTTTCCTGCTCAGGCCAATTTTCATCTTTCAGTGCTGTTGTACTTTGAATGACAATTGAGTGGTCATGCAACACTGTACCCATATTACATTTTTGTTCACACAAATAGAGCTTTCTTTTGGTGGTATTTAATCACTATTGAGTTTTTTAATTTGTATACTAAATAAACAAAAAAAGACCGAAAATTAAAAAAATAACATGTTTTTCTTTGTTTCTGTTATATAAAAATTTCCAAATAAATAAACTTTCTTCATGAATTTATGTCAAAATTTATTCTGCTACATTTCTTTGGTGGAAATAACCCAAATCAGTGTGTATTATTTAGTCTGTAGGAAAGTCCACAAACTGGTATATACTTTATGAAAATCAATCAGTCTTGATGCACTGAAGACCTATCTTATTTCTTGAGGCCCAAAAATGTCAGGATAGTACAAATATCCCTGAAAGTACCTCTTTTTGGAAAATAGACAGTCCAAGGTATTGTAAGGTGTAGGTAAGAAACATGGCAAGTTTTTTGAGTTGTAATTTTTTGGCACAAATTTTTGGAAAATGAAGAAATTAAAAAAAAATGTACATATTGTTACCAGTTCTGTACAGCGTCTGACTGGTGACAGTAGGTAAAAAGAAAAAAAACATTTTTATTTAATTTTTTATTTTGTTTTACATTTTTTTATTTCATTTTTTTTAATTTTTTACACACTGTGATTAGAGCAATACAGTGCTAACATAATATACATAATAACATAAATACATAATAACACTCTGGGGAAGTGATCAGGATTTTTTTTTTACACATTATGATTGCTTATACCAATGTATTTAATTGATATAAGAAACTCATTTTACAGAATGAAACTGATTCATTCAGTGTCTTTGTTGTGATTAGCTGTGATTGGCTAAAGCCAATGGCCAAATCACATGGTACAGATGGGCTGTAAGTAGCTCTGTCTGTACCATGTGATCGATGGGACCAGTCACAGCTAACAACACATTTGTATACAATGGATGGCATGAAAGGAAGCCATCTATTGTTTACAATTGTCATGTGATCTGCTGTGATCGGTCACAGTGATTACGACACTGGCAGTGGGCCGATGTAGTGGTTAATCATCAGCTGTGTCCGGTGGACACAGCTGGTGACAGATCGCATCGCAGCATGGCCATGTGAGCTGCGCCTTTTGAGAGGACATCATATGACGCCCACTCAGAATGAGGAACATCCCTGTCGGCCGTCAATCTGCTGTAGGCCGGGCAGGAAGGTGTTAATATGACTGTTTGCCTTCTTTAAGACTCTTTTACACTGCTCCAATGAAAAAAAACCTGTTAAAAACGCATATGCATGTTTACTATTTTTTTGGTATGTTTTTGACACATTTTCTGGACTCCTGACTCCAATCATGCACCTATGAAACTTGGACTTCTGACTCAAAAAAAGCATCAAAAAAGCATCAAAAAAGCACCGTGGGTTTTTGATGCATTATCCATTCATTTTAATGGAAGGTGCGTATTTGGTGTGGTTTTTAACCTCTTGCAGACCTGCCACAGTAATTATACCGTGGTGGGGTGGCAAGTACAGGCACAACTACATACATGTACATCCCTGTGCCTGCTCCGGGTTACAAGTGCGCTACCTGCCCCTCCTATTGGTAACTAGCTATCATATGATCACTATGATTGGCTATCAATTGGCTTTCCATTCATAAACAACTTGCTTACTGTTGTAATCTGTGATTGGCCCACAGCAATCACATGGTACCTGGCTACCTGTACCATGTGATTAGCTGTAGCCAATCACAGATCACAACCAGAAGCAAGCAAATGGTAAACCCACTCATGAGAGCTAAAACTATTGCTCATATTGCTTGATTCAAAAAAATCCCTGTTTAAAAAATTTAATTAACAGCGCTGAGCGAACTATTGGCGCTTTATAAATACTGTATAATAATAATAATTTAAAAGTTTATTTTTTGTATATACCAGGGGCGGACTGACAACTCACGGGGCCCCCGGGCAATAGGGGATCATGGGGCCCCTGTGTCCTTGCCCAAACTCAAAAAAGCCTATGAAAAAGGTACCAGGGGCATCTCATGGGGCCCCTACTGACCCCGGGCCCTCGGGCAGTGCCCGAGTTTCCAAATGGTCAGTCCGCCCCTGGTATATACTGTCATCAGTCAGTATTCTTGATCACCGCCACACCAGTCATATGATGGCACTGTGCTGCACTGATGACAGTATGTAACAAAATGTGAGAAAAATACTTTTTTCTCTTCATATTCCAAAAAATTGTGACTAAAAATTACAACTTCAAAAATCTCACCATGTGTCTTACTAAATACCTCAGACTGTCTACTTTCCAAAAAGGTGTCATCTGGGGATATTTGTACTGTCCTGGCATTTTAGGGCCTCAAGAAATGAGATCTCATGAGGCCTCTCAGTACATCAGACTTGATCAGTTTTCAAATATACTGTACGTATATACCATTGTTTGTGGACGCTTGTTTGGGGTTTTTTTTACCAAAAACATGCAGCAGAATACATTTTGGCCTACATTTTTGAAGAAATTAAATTTTTTTTAATTGGATAGGTTTTGTAACAGGAAGTATAAAATATTGTTTTTTTTAACATCTTCGGTCTTTTTTCATTTATGTAATAAAAAATAAAAATTCCAGTGGTAATCAAATACCACCAAATGAAAGCTTTACAGTATGTGTGTTCAATAAATTATGTAAATTTCATTTCGGTACAGTATTGTGTGACCACGCAATTACCAGTTAAAGTAGCACAGTGTCATTAAGCAAAATTTCCCTGGTTATGAAGGGGGTAAAACCTTCTGAAGCTTAAAGTAGAACTCTAGTTACATTCTTTTTTTTACCATGCAACGGGGCTGTGCCCCCACTGCATAGATAAGCTTCTCAATTTTTCTAGGAGCGAGGTCTAAGCTATTACTCAGCTAACAGCCCCACTGCATGGGCAAAAAACCCCCAAAATTCCAGGATTTCTGTTTTAAGTGGAGCTCCAAAAATGCAGCATGCAAGACGTTTAAAATGCACAGTACCCACAACCAACTGGTGTAAAGAGTTCCATAGGATTTAAAGGAACACATTTTTCATGCATTTTTCTTCTGCTTTTTACCCCCAATACACATCAAACACAGATCAGTGTAAAAGGACAATCATAATCCCCTTTTCAAAGTCATTAACAATAGCTTTTGTGTTTACATTCCTTAAGAAAAGGAAGAATATTTTACCAAAAATCCCCCAAACAAACAAACAAAAAAAAAAATGACATTAAAAATATATTATTTAAAGTGTTACTAAACCCACAACAGTAAAATCAGTCTGAATATGCAGTAAGGAGTAAAAAGAGGAAAAAAAACAGTAGAAAAAAGAAATCCACTGGTATAGAGGGCCTAATGAGAACAGACACTGGCTAGAAAAAATATTAATTTATTACAAAGTCAAAATAACACAAATCAAAAACAGACAGCCTCCACCTTACATAGACAAAATTGAATAAAATGACAACGTTGTCATACAAGAAGACGACCCACGTTCCGGGATCCCGGCTCCACTGATATGCACACGTACACACACAGAAAAATGGGTCTAGATAATATAGAATAATGAGTTGGAAAAATATAAGTAAAGCAATGTAGATGAAAAAAGCAGGAGTAAGGTCAAGGAGAGAGAAAGTGAGTGGACAAGATAAAGCAGGATATGGAGACAATAGATATAGCAATGTCCAGACACTATAAGAGCACTAGATAGAAATGTAAATAAATAATTCTCAAATATTGTATATCCATGAGTAATGTTTCCTGTAAAGCATAATCAGTTGATGGAATGATGTGAGGTAGTTCCCCAATTAGGGGTAAATGTCACTCAATACTGCCGAGTTCTCCCATCTTGAAGGTAACCTCATTTAGAGGTAAAGTATGCACTATTATAGGTGCTATGTCAATGGTATGGAGAAGCAGAGAGAAGCAGAGAGTGACTATGTTCTGTTGGTCACTGTAGCAATTGGCAATTGATTAGCAAGGCATAAATAGCCTTCTATAAATAGTCTGGTATAAATAATTGATGATGATATTTATAGGAAGTCCAACAATATACCTGACATATATCATGTGAATGTCCATTCAGTTTCCAAATCTGTGCAAATGAATAGTAGAATAGATAATACTTCAACTGCCAATTTGTTCACAATATATGGTAGTCACCCAGTTAAGGGTATATCCGTGACACCTAGATTTGGTGCAACACCCAATATTGGAAAGGCAGTATTTATATAACGGACCGTTATTCCTGTATCATCAGCTGTAGTGGATGAAACCCAATGGTTGATGGATATTGATACGCACCCGTGTAGGTGTAATTATGGCTAGCAAGAAGCTGGACCAAAATAAAGGACCTGGAATAGAGTGCGTCACTGCATGGCAAGCCTGGAATGGGAGTATAATAAAGCAATGTATATCTGGCAGAAAAATGCAATCAGCCAAGGAGTGCTGGATAAACAGTCCCCATAAGTAAATAGAGCGGATACTGGGTTCTGCTAATGATAGCTATAGATACTCTCACCAGTTCCAGTTTGTGTGCCAAGTATAATGGGTCCTTATCATGGACTTCATTCATGGAGGTCCGGTGTCTGTAGCCTGTAAATATGAGGGTTCCTCCAGCTAGAGCAGCATATGTAGCCGAGGGTTCAGCGTAATGTATGGGTATGGTAAGCAAGCGTGGCAGTCAGGGCGGCCAGCTGGATGGCCTGGCCGGGATGTCGAGAGCGTGGGCACCACCAGGCTGACATCAACGCGTTTCGCCCACCACGTGGGATTCTTCAGGAACTGGTGTAAAGAGTTTCACTGGATTTAAAGGAACACATTTTTCATGCATTTTTCTTCTGCTTTTTTACCCCCAATATACATCAAACACAGATCAATGTAAAAGGACAATTATAATTCCCTTTTCAAAGTCATTAACAATAGCTTTTGTGTTTGCATTCCTTAAGAAAAGGAAGGATATGTTACCAAAAAAAAACCCCAAACAAACAAAAAAAAATATTAAATTAAAAATATATTTTTATGCTCTTGAGGTAAAACCCCAGCTTGTACCCTTTTTCCCTAGTACCTTTAAAGTGTTACTAAACCCACAACAGTAAAATCAGTCTGAATATGCAGTAATGCATGCTTGTTATACTCACTGTGGAATCTAAGGGGTTATCCTCTGCATTGTGTAAAAATGATGTTTGATCCTGTCTTCTCTGCTCCTCCTCTTGTTCAAATGTCCACATCTTACCTCCTGATAAGACAGACTGAACCATAGCCATTCTGCACATGCTCAATTTGGTGTGTATTGCTAGAGAGTTTTTTTTTCTTGGGAGAGTGCATGTATCAGAGCCAATCAGCACTGTCCAGACAGAGGTCAGGGGCTCTGCATCCTCCTAGAGCAGAAAGTAAACTCCTCCCACAAGCTTTAATCAGTGCTCTGCTGAAGTCACAAGACTGCTCTAACTGCTGAGGAGAGAGGGTATTTAGCAGTTTATATTTACTAAAATAATTGCATTTCCATGTCCTATGTACTGTGAGAGACCAGATAGAGTGAATGCAGGGGCCTGGGTTTAGTAACACTTCAAATCTACAAAAAGGGAAATCAGCATTAAAGGAGAATGATGGGAAACTTTTCTCGGTCAGCAGCTGTGGCAAATTGGTTGCAGTCATTGATCATTGCATTCTGATAGTGGTGGATCCCGCTGTCAGAATACAAAGTCCCAGCAAGAGGGGGGTTAACATTAACAAGGTGGATGGAGGTATCTGTTAGTTTTTTTTTTTTTCTTCGTTCGTTTGTTCATTCATTCAGGTTCAATCTCCATGGTCCCACTGTATGTAGGAACATAGCCGCCCTCAGCTGCTTTTGACATGGACAGGGGCTTTGAAATATTGGGTATGGAGCTTGCATAGAGCATTGCACATGACCACAACTGACATGCATTGTTCCAAACAAATGGAAGTGAGAGGGGGAAAGGATAGGTTAGGGAGCTCATAGAGGACATTACAAGGAGGCAGAAAAACACAGAAGGAAGCACATTCATGAAAAATAAAGGGCCATTAATGTGGTAGGAAACCCAAAAACAAAAATGGAATATATTGCAGATTTCCAATCCTTAGATGTGGTGGCTGCACTTTTTTCTTTTTTCTGTTTTTTTCCTTTGTTTTCATCTAGTGATTTGGCCAGTAATCCACCTCCTGTATTAGAGTGTTCCAGCTCTGGATAGGGGAGCAACAGAGATACCGTTGGCCAGCAGCCTTAACCTGGAGGAGTGATGTGTTAGTTGTATTAGCAGATTTGGAAACACTAACAAACTGAAACCAAACTCCAACTCACACTACAGTATAAAGCAGTTACAGCAGACAGTTTTCTTTTCTTTTGTGATAAAGGTTTTACATAAATAAAAAGAGCTGATCATTGGAAGCAACCATGTCTGTGTTAAATTGTCTGGCTCAACCCTCTAAATGCTAAATCTGCATGACAGCTTGTTTTGTTGAAAAATAACAGACTTATTGGCAGGATCACCAGGTAAAAAGAAAGCCTACAAATGGAAACAAGTGCAGCTGCCAAGGCTAAGAATTGGTAAGCTGCAATATAACTTCCAGACAGCAGATAAGATAACAAAAAAAAAAATAAAAAAAACACGAAAGAAAAAAAAAAAAGGGAAAATAATGCACTGCCTGCTTCTGTCTAGATTGGATGACAAATTTATATTTTTGGTACCTGCAGACACCTGCTGTCCAACCATTCAATTGGGAGGAAGCTAATATTTTTGCTACTACATTGCCAAAAATGAAAATATCAGAACTCCTGTATGTAGTGCTAATACAGCATTGTGGTCAATATACAGGCTAGAGTTTAATTTCATATCCATGCATACATATATCTTGAAACTGTAACAGTGCAAATGGGCATTTTACACATGCACTTTTTTGGGTGCGTTGAATGTGTTGCCTAATTTTTTTAATGTGTTGCCTCATTTTTTTTGCCAGCAAGGCAATACATTGAAATACAGGTATGTGTGTATTCCATGTAGATGCAGTAGCATTAAAGATGAATAGCAACCTACTTTAACCACTTGCCTACCGGGCACTTATACCCCCTTCCTGCCCATGCCAATTTTCAGCTTTCAGCACTGTCGTACTTTGAATGACAATTGCGCGGTCATGCAACACTGTAACCATATGAAATTTTTATCATTTTTTTCACACAATGAAAAACGCTATGGCCGGGTACCATGTGATAACTGTGCGCCAATCTCAGCTCACTAGTATCAGAAGCATAGAGATGATCTGACATTAGAATATGTTAACGGAAAGCTTGTGGATGAATGGCAGTGTAAAACAGAAACCAAGAATAGTGACGGTGCTTCTGTAGCAGAGTCTGCTTTAAAGACAAAAAATAGGAATAAAAACAGTAAAATGCAACAAGAAACACATGAATGTTTTTTGTGAAAGAAACAAGACCATTTAAAAGCAGACTGCAGAATCTGGAAAGCTAGAATGTGAAAAACAAACTAAACTACAAAAATCCAAAACTGCGAAGGAAGAAACTGATTTGTTTCAGATAATGAATATGTTTTTAAATCCAAAAGTTGCCAAAACTACAGGCTAAAATTACAGATGAACTGTATCAGCTGAACTGCAATGAGGTGGTTAATACTGCCAAGGAGGAAAAACATTCAAACTGCATCCACAAATGGCACAGACGACTTGACATAATAAAGAAATTAACTGAGAATGACTATGCAAGTGGAATAAAAATTAGTCCATGTGATCAAACAATGAATTGCTCCAGCTGTATAAAAGGAAAAATGACAAGAGAAGCCTTTCCAAAGCAGAGTAACAGCAGCGTTAAGAAACATCTGGACTAATTTATTCAGATCTTTATGGTCCAATGAAAAAACTGACTCCAGGAAAGAAGAGGTTTTTTCTTACTTTTATAGATGATTGCTCCAGGTATACTACACCTCTGTTACACAACAACAGTGAAGTGCCAGAAAAACTTGAACAGTATTTGACTCAAGCAAGCAACAAATTTGGCAAAATGCCGAGTGTATTGCGTGCAAACAATGGAATTGAATATATATACAGGGGATAACAAACAGACGATTCTCAGAAAGCATGATATAATATTTCAAACTACTGTACCATACAACCCAGAACAAAAGAATGACCCATACTCTGAGAGTGGAAGAAACATACTGTTTGATGTAGATATGCCAACCACATACTGGGGGGAGGCAATTATGACCTCATGCCATCTTTAAAATTGGCTACCAGGAAAATCCCATATGAACTGTGCAATGGAAAAGCTCTGAATGTGAACTATTTAAAAATTTGGGAACACAAAGCCTATGTGCACATCCCTCCCAAATAAAACATATAAAAATTGGATGCTTTCACAAAGGAAGGTGTACTTTTGGGGTACAGAATCCTACACCAAGACACAAACAAGGTAACCATCAGTAGAAGTGTAATTGTCGATGAAACTTCAGATGTTCAAAATTTCATGAACTAACACAAATGCTTCATACTGAGGGACATTTCACATCATCAGTGTCACATGAAGACATAGAACAAAGTGACACAGAAATAGAAATTAACAGACGATCCAAATACTGTAAAAGAAGAAACCAGGCCACAAGAGGCTTCAATCAGGAAATCCACTAAAAGCAATAAAGGCATCCCAGCCAAACATCTGCACTATGTTTCTCACGTAGCATTAAAACCAGAGCCAGATTCATAGGATAAGATGCAAAGACTTCCAACTGATGTGAAACAGATTTATAGAACAGAGATCCAAAATGGGACTAATATAAAGAGTAGTTGTTGAGTGGGGGAGTTGGAATACAATGTTCATGTATTTTTGTACAAAACTACATTAGCATCACTATTCAGTAGAGATATATTCTTCAGCCAGTAGATGGCAGTGTTTGTAAGTTTGTAGCTGCATCTATGGTTAAATGCTATGTCTTTTACTCTATACCAAAGTTCCTGTTTCCTGTCTACAATGAAGCAGCAGATAAACACATGTCTATTCTTTGGGGCTATATACAGAATCTCTAACAAGTCTAAGCAAAGGAGGGTTATAACACCTGCCATCTGTGTCCCACTGGGAAGATTTACCATTAATTCCTGTCCCGTAGCCAAAACAGGAAGTGAGAGGAAATCCCTGCATATTAAAGAAATTTCTTGGGACGCCCCAGGTCACCAGAACTAGTGTGTCATTGGAAGACTTTCCCCTTATTACCTTTCTGGGGACATCCTAAAATGTGGGATCTTGTTTTACTCACACTTTCAATGGCAATGGTAAACACAACAAATAGAGAGGGTGAATCTCCCTAACTGGGGCACAGAAAGCAATTAGAATCTTAATAGGTATTCAAATCCAACTTTACTCTATCCAAAACAAAACAAAAAAGCTTTGCCTTTAGTTATATTTTAACATTAAAAACCCCTTGACGTCGACGTCACACAAATATGCGGCCTCACAGAACCAGGCTTTTTTCCGTGGGACTGCATTTTTGCGTACCTGTCTTTGTGCTGGGAGCATGCCACATAGCGCGCTCCCAGCACAAAGACCATGGTGTCACTGAGAGCCCCAAGTGCCGTTCTAACGATCCGGGTCACTTGATCGCTGTTATAGCCTCTAATTGGCTATCACAGTGATCTGTCACTGTACAGCCTGGCCCCCTTGTTTTTTTTTTCTCTCTATGAATGGAGGAGAGATAGATTGTATTTCTCTAACTCCTGGCATAGAGGGGAAAACAATTTTTGTTAAAAAAAAAAAATATATATAAATAAATAAATATCAAAAATAAAAGAAAAAATAAAGGAAAATACATAGATCAAGGTTTTATCTAGTTCAGTGCCAGGGTAAGTGTTTGGGTCAAGGGCAAGGTCAAAGGTCAAAGTCAAAGGTCAGGATTTTTTTTTCTAAATTGGTATTAGTGTCAGTTAGTGTCAGTGTGTTTTAGGTAAACAAAAAAAATGCACACTATTGTTTCGGGGCTGTACTACGAGTACAAACAACAAATAACATACACATACATGGTATCGCTGTGATCGTCAAGAGCTGGAAAATTTATTTTGGGTTGTTCTTTGGTGGTAGATAATGGTAGTAACAAGAAACACACAGCTAAATTGAAAAAAAAAATGTTTTTATTGTTTTGGGCCAGTTTTCTTTTGATAATAAAAAAAATCAAGAGATATCCATTACCATTTACCACCAAATGAAATCCCAGTTTGTCCTGAAAAGAACAAGGTATAATCCATCTGGATGTACAAAGTAGTTGTGATGATATGTACGATTTTACTAACATGTCAACGTTGCAAAATTG